CTGAGGGACCCCACCCCAAGTGCACAAATTTGTGCACCAGACCTCTAGTATGAAAAATATACAATTATTATTAATAATAAACAAGAGAAACTCTGAATTTTTGCCTACTAATAACGAAAGCCTACTTTTGCCCCACCCTCTATGTACCACCATATTGTTATCACTTGTCCAATTGATGGACACTCAGGCTGCTTCCATATCTTGGCTATTGTACATATACTGCAATGAACATAGGGTGCATATATTCTTTCCAATTATGTTTTGGGTTTCTTCAGATGTACATCCAGAAGTGGAATGGTTGGGTCATAAGGCAGTTCCATTTTTAATTTTTTGAGGAACCTTCACACTGTCTCCCACAGGGCTACACCAGTCTGCATTCCCACCAGCAGCACATGAGGGTTCCCCCTTCTCCACATCTTCACCAAAACTTGTTGCTTGTTGATGTATTGATGACAGCCATTCTGACAGGTGTGAGGTGATATTTCATTGTAGTTTTAATTTGCATTTCTTTAATGATTAGTGACATTGGGCATCTTTTCATATGTCTGTTGGCTTTCTGTATGTCCTATTTTTGCTATTTATATCTTATTTCCTACAATTTAATTTATTGTGGTGACATTGGTTAACAAGATTATAGAGGTTTTCAGTGTGCAGTTCTATGGTAAATCATCTGTATCTTGCACTGTGTACCCATCACCCAATGTCACATCTTCTGTCACCTGTATTGACCCCTTTACCCTTTCCTCCCACCCCACCCCCTGTCCTCTGGTGACCACCATACTGTTATCTGTATCTATGAGTTTTGGTTTGTTTCTTTTTCTTGTTTGTTCATTTGTTGCTTTCAGTTTTATATTCCACATGTGAGTGAAATCATATGGTTTTTAACTTTTTCTGTATGACTTATTTAATTTGCATGATGTTCTCAAGATCCACCCATGTTGTCCTAAATGGCTGTATGCCATGTTTTCTTGTGGCTCAGGAGTATTCCATTGTAAATATGTATCACACCTTTATCCAATCATCAATGGCAAAGAACATTTCTGCTGTTTCCATCTTGGCCACTGTAAACAATGCTGCAGTGAACATAGGGGTGTATATATGTTTTTAAAAAATATATTTTTATTGATTTCAGAGAGGAAGGGAGAGGGATAAAGAGATAGAAACATCAATGATGAGAGAGAATCACTGATGGGCTGCCTCCTGCGTGCCCCCTACTGGGGATCGAGTCTGCAACTCAGGCATGTGCCCTTGACCAGAATTGAACTCGGGACCCTTTTGTCTCCAGGCTGACACTCTAGCTGCTGATCCAGACCAGCTAGGACAAAAGATAGCCTTGCTGGATAAAGTAGTCTTGGTTGTAGATTCTTGCTCTTTATCACTTTAAATATCTTGTGTCAATCTCTTCTGCCTGAAATGTTTCTGTTGAGAAATTGGTATTATGGGACCTCACTTGTCAGTGACTATCTTTCTCTTACTCATTTTAAGATTCTCTCTTGGTCTTTAACCTCTGACATTTTAATTATAATGTGTCTTGGTGTGGGCTCTTTGGGTTCATCTTGTTTGGGACACTCTACTTCCTAGGCTTGTATCTCTTTTTCCTTCACCAGGTTGGGGAAGTTTTAAATCATTATTTCTTCAAATAGGTTCTCAAACCCTTGCTATCTATCTCCTTCTGGTACCCCTATGATGCAAATGTTCTGCTTTATGTTGTCCCAGAGCAGCGGTTGCCAACCTTTCGGACCTCACAGACCACCAGTGGTCCACGGACCATTGGTTGGCAACCGCTGTCCCAGAGGTCCCTAAAACTATCCTCATTTTAAAAATTCTTTTTTCTTTTCGCTGCTCTGATTAGGTGTTTTCTGCTACCTTGTCTTTTATTTATTATTTATTTTATTTTTATTGTCTAAAATTTTACATATGTCTTCTTTTTCCCCAATTGACCCCCCCTCCTCTTCAGCCATTCCCACCCCAGGCAAGCCCCCAGCGCCCCAGTGTCTGTGTCCATTGGTTATGCTAATATGCATGTCTGCTACCTTGTCAATTAAATTGCTGATTTGATTTTGTGCTTTATGGAATCTGTTATTGATTCATTCTAGTGTATTTATTTCAGATCTCATATTTTTCATTTCTGACTGTTTTTCTCTTATGGTTTCTAGGTCCTTTTTTTATACTTACTGTCTCTTTATTACAGTCCTCACTGAGTTCATCAACCCTTCCCCTTCATTCCTTGAGTATCCTTAGAACCATTGTTTTGAACTCTGTATCTGCTATATTGTTTGTGTTCATTTCACTTAGTTCTTTTTCTGGGGGTTTCTCCTATTGTTTCATTTGGGGCATGCTTCTTTGTCTCCCCATTTTGGCCGCCTCTCTGTATTTGTTTCTCTGTGTTAGGTAGATCTGCTATGTCCCCAGTCTTGGTAGGGTGGCTTTTTGGAGTACATGTCCTGTGGAGCTCAGTGGTGCACTCTCCCTGATTCCCTAAGCTGGGTGCCCAGGAATGTCCCTGGTGTGGGTTCTGTAAACCCTGCTGTTGTAGGTGAGTCTTGATTGTTGTTGGCCAGTGGTAGGTCGGGTTGACCCTCAAGCTGACTGACTGTGAGTATTGACCCTGATCACACTGTATGAGCTGCTGTGAGTAGGCTGACCCCATGAAGCAGAATTGGCCCCAGCAGGGTCTGGTGCCTGCAGAGATCTGCCTTTGAGTGTGCCGCTTGTGGAGCTCATTGGGTTATACTCTGCTGTGGGCTGGTTCTGGGGCCTCTAGGAAGGCACTGTGGTGCAGGTCAAGGTCAGACACTGCCTGTGACCAATCCTGGGCTGCCTGTTAGACGCTATGAAGTGCTCCACAGTTGGTGGCTCCCTCTGCTAGGCCTGGGTGCACATCGGAGGGGCCAAGCTGCATACTGAGGCTGATTCCCAACCTGCGTCAGGACACAAAAGGACCAAAGCACCCCAAAATCTGCCTCTGCCTGCAAGTTGCCATTAGGCTCAGCCACTGATAGAGCCTCCAGCTAAGCTAGCTGCCCCAGGAATGTCCCTTGTGTGGTGAGGTGAGCCCTGCTATTGTAGTTGGGTTGCATGAGTAGTTTCTCAATGAGTCATTGGTCTGGGGCGAGTGGTATTCATCAGGTTGATACAGATTCAACCTCAGAGCCAGTGCTGGGTGTGACACCACTTGATAAAAGTCGCAGGGCACACCAAGGCCAGCCACCACCACCCACCACACACCACACACCATCCCAACACCACACACCACCCACCTGGGGTCTTCAAATCTTTGCAGTGGGGTACGGTCTCTGAAATCTCTGGGTAAGGCCAGTAGAGTTCCTCAGGATCACACAGATTAGGAATGGCAGTGAGGAGGGAGGGCTCTGCACAGTGGAGCTAGTCGGGTGCCTGGGGAAATGGCCCTCACCTCAGAGACACACAACTCAGTCTCTCCCTGTGTGTCTCCAACAGCCCTGGAGTCTGCTCAGACCTCCTCCAGAGCTTCTGAGAAAGACTGTGTGGGCCCAGGGTGGTTGCAGCTGGCAGACTCCCCTGCAGGGCATGAGCTTGGTAGGGCAGGACCACTGGGAGCCTGGAGGAGGTGGGGGCACATGCAATCCCCCAGGCTGATGCCCTATGGAGGGGATGTTCAACTCAGGAAAGATGGCATCTGTGGGCATGTGGGAGAGGGACTCAGCCCTGGACAATGGAGGCTACCCCTCCAGCCCTCTCCCCAAAGTCATACAACCAATCTCTCCCTGGGTGGGTCCTGTCCACTCTGGGCTGCTGTTGCTCCGATGGAGCCCAGGTTGAGTACCTGCCAATGAGATGTTTGTGCACTGGCCCTTTAAAAGGGCTTCCGGTTGCCTGGCAGTCCCCTGTCTCACTCTGGCAAGTGCAGTCCCCACGGATGGTCACAGCCAGATGTTGTGTAGCTCCTCTTCCAGGCACCGGTGTTCCAAGCTGGGAGCTCAGGATGGGGTGGAGACCCCTCCCTTCTCAGAGGGGACCTTTGCGGCCGAGGTGTCCCTCCTAACTCTCAATGCAGCCATTTCTGTGTCTCCACCCTCCCTGCCCGTCTCCATGTGGCTTCTTCCATGTGTCCTTAATGATGAGACCTCTTTTCAGCCAGTCTTCAGTTGGTTATTCAGGTTCAGGGTCTATAATTTAGTTGTTATTCTGATTTGGTTCTGGGAGAAGGTGAGTGTTACTTCCACCTACTCTGTCTCCCTCTTGGATCCCTGTTTTCAGTTCTTTGGGGTACAGACTAGGAGTGGAAGTTCTGGGCCATGTGCTAATTCTACATTTAGTTACTAGAGGGGGAGTTTCCTATTGAGCCTACATGTGTGCAGAGCTGGGGTTTCATGATCAGATTCATGGACACTGAGGACACAGGTGTTTGCTCTGCCAGGCGGACATTCCCTCCGGAGGCTCTGCCTGGGTCCTCCCCACGCCCCGTGGGGGTGTGTGGACCTTGATCGTCCTCCTGAGGATGAGCCAGTCTGGGAGCGAGAGGCAGTTCCCTAGATCAGAATGAAAACCCCACCCATCAGCTCAGAAGTTTTTCATGACTGTTGTGATGCATTTCTCTGGGTGAGCCCTGATCCCTTGCTTTTCAAGGAGAACAATCCTGGGATAACTCTCTCCTCAGTGCCTGTCCTAAGGCCTGTGGAGACCAGACTCTGGCTGATGAAGTGCTGGATCCTAGAACTGAATGGGTTTAGCAGTGGTTCTCAACCTTCCTAATGCCGCGACCCTTTAATACAGTTCCTCATGTTGTGGTGACCCCCAGTTTCATTGTTACAAATTGAACATAATTAAAGCATAGTGATTACTCACAAAACAATATGTAATTATATATGTGTTTTCCAATGGTCTTAGGCGACCCCTGTGAAAGGGTCGTTCGACTCCCAAATGGCTCCCGACCCACAGGTTGAGAACCGCTGTTTTAGTGGATGCTGAGGAGCTCAGTCCCAGGGCCAGGTGTAGCTGCTCTAGACCCCAGAGTCAGGGCCCACAGAGGGACTCCCTGTGCCCTCGGCTGATGGCTGGGGTGGTCCAGAAGGAGTGGAAGGATGACCTTGTTGTTGGGAAGGAGCAGAAGCCTGGACCACCTCTGGTTCTCAGCCAGCCCCTCCCCACAGCTCCGCGGCTCTGGCCCTACCAGTTGCAGGTGGTGATGGTTCCCATGGTGGGGAACAGGGTCTGTAACCAGCGCTACCATAATTCTTCCACCAACACTGGCCAGATCATCAAGGATGACATGCTGTGGGCTGGGAGTGAGGACCAGGACTCCTGCCAGGTGAGCCCCACCTGTCCCGTCCTCTGTCCTCCGTCCCCTCCTGGCCCAGGGAATCGGGACTCAGAAGCTCCATGCAGTGGCCCGTGTGGAGATGTTCACTGAGTCCTGCCTCTCCCCACAGGGTGACTCCGGGAGCACCCTGGTGTACAGGTGGGCAGGCACCTGGGTCCAGGTAGGGATCGTGAGCTGGGGATACAGCTGTGGTCATCGCGACTTCCCTGGGGTGTATGCCCGGGTGATGAGCTTCATTTCTTGGATCTAGAAGTATGTCTCTTCACCCCCTGGATCCTAGATGAGGCCAGGCAGGGTTCCCATGATGGGGAGACCCTCAATCTTCCTTGTTGACACCCTTGCTTCTTTCCCAATTCCAGCCTCATCCTCCCACCTCCTCACCCTCCACAGTGTCAAGAGCCTCCTGCCCTCTGGGTCCCCCTCCTGTCCTGACTATAGGGCAGCAGACACAGGAGATGCTCCGCAGGCTGGTGTCTCTCACAGTAGGAGGGCCAGGACAAGGAGCCTGGGCCCATGGCCTCCTGCTCACCCTCTGATTCCTATTAAACTTGGAAAACCAGCTCCAAGCCGTGGCTGAGATGGTGGCATGGACTCATCATGGCGGTGACTGAGGGCGCAGTGGGGGCCTCCCTGAGAGTCCCCGGGTCCCAGGTCTCCGAGTTCGGGTGTGAGGAGGTTTCCAGGGCTCAGTCCCTGTGATGGCATTTCTGGGAGTTCATGGGGGTTTTGTTTGTCCCAGTGTCCCTCCCTCCACCCTTCCACTTCCTCTTCTTTCTTCCTCCCCTCCCTCCTTCCCCTGCTTCTTATTTTCTTTTCTGCTCTTCTATGTTCTTCTTCTCTCTCTTATTTCATAATGTTACTTCCCTCCTCCCCTCCCTCCCTCCCTTAATTATCCTTGATCACATGTGCCCAGCATGGACAAGGTCTCAGGGGCAAGGAGTTCACTGAGTGGGTTTCTTGAGCTACTGGAACCCACAGGAAGGTGGAGGACAGACATAA